ATGTTCACATTTAAAATATATTACTTATGGTGAAGCGCTCACACATTGGAATGGTGTGATTTTATATTTGCAAATCAAGCAGCGAGCCATGGAAGAGAATCTGATTGTGTGTTGGGTGTCTTCTGACTTATATGTCATCAACTATAGCGAAATGGTTAGACTGCCTGGTCGAGGACACGCTGCTGCTAAACGGCAACTCATCCCTGCTATTAATTTGCTTATTTTATAAATTGACATACAAAGCGCAGAATTGACAAACCGTCTGCATCTCAGAGCTGATTTGGAAAATAGCTTCGTTAAAGAAAAAGAAGATTTTTACGCCTCTTCAGCAATTAATTTTCTCTACTAGACAGTCTCAATTTAGTTAATAATACAGTACTGATAACGTAATGACTCAGTTATCAAACATCAAAATTTAGCTAGGAATGTAAATTATTTCATAATTGGACAATGGTTTCAAAATTGATCAAAAATTGCAAAGTAACGTAACAAGGGAAGGACACTTTGTCGAAGGGCGGATTACAGCGAAGTAAATACTGTTGAATGTAACATAATGCTGACTTCAACCTGCCTTCATATCGGCAAAGCATCTCTTTGGAAGAAGTTATGGACGTGCTCTATGAAAAATTGCTTACAGGTCCTGGATTAAATTGCTCAAAATCAACGTTGACACAAAATAGAAGCGCAAAGGAAAAATATTGAGGAAATGTCTTCATTATGGAACAACTTTGCTGGTTGTTTCAAATTGCTTTTGGTCTTGTAGAACAATTATTGACGAGCTGCATAGGCTAATTTCAACACAGAACAACTTTCGTCTATCAGATTGAAGAGAAATGCTTTGCAGATATGGAATCGGCGCTTAAAACTGCATCTATCATTATGCTCGGTATAATGTGTGGAATAGCCGCTTGAATCACCACTTCGACCAAGTATCCATATCTTGTAAGCGCTAGCTTATCTTAAAAGAAAACTGTAACTTTGATGATTTCTATGTAAGCTATCTCAGATCGACTGAGGTATGCTTAACTAAAAATGAAAGAAATTTTGTAAATTTATACATTATTCTTTTGATCTCCACTATTAATAAAGGGTTGATCAAACCTGACCACTAGCTCTAAGGCTGATTATAAGGGTAGTTTCAAAATACTTATATTAGGTACTACTGACCAGATTTCAAGGGTTATTATCCGCAAACTGTTTCACTAGCCTTAAAGGATAATTTTGAGTGCAAAATGTGCAATAGGATTTGTTTAGCATCTGCTCATTACTGTTTATGACATTCTAAGATTGCCAAAAGTTGTTTGTTCTCCTCGTTTTTTTTTTCTGCATTGAGACCATTGAGAGATATTCAATATACCCAGCTTGTTCAACGGTAAGCAAACTATGTTCATCACAAGTTCATGATTAACTAGATTACCTGATCCTTCTTGGTAAAGGTCGCTAATCCTCATGCAGTGCTAATCCATATTGTGCGTCTTCGCTTTGTTTTTTCGCGCTGAAACTTGAGATGTGATGTATATTTGCCAAATTCAGCACAGATATTGATGATGAAAAAGTAGTGACTGGTATGTCGTTTTATCATCATACTTTTCCGCCAGCTATGATTCAGCGGAATTTTGTAATAACGTACTTTTTAACGTATGTGCCGACACTTCGCGGGCAAGTTCTTGAAGACATACCAAGAAGGACTGTCAAGCTTGCCTGCTTGAACCAAAATTCCTGTTTTCGGGTGAAATTGAATTGATAACGGTCAAGCTGGGACATTGGGAATCAAGCTTTTGAAAGAGGGATCTAAAGTTCGAGAAAGAAGAGATACACTATGATCAGCGAATAGTTCAAGCATTTTTTATTCTCATCGTCGACTACTCTTATTCAAAATAATCGAACTGTTTTCAGGTCTCCAAAGGAATCGAGCATCAAGAAAAGCGATACCACGGGATCTTTTGGGGTAAGCCCAAAGACCAAAGCAGACATAAAGCGAGCACACCTGCTCGTAAATGGAAAATCTATGGCGCTAGAGTTTAATTATTTAATGATCTATATCATAATGTACTCAATTAAACCTGCCAATAGATAAGATTATGTTATCAGATTATATTCAGAACATTAAAAATCTCACATCACTTCGCAAAACAAAAAAAAAGTCCGAGAAAAAAGACAACGCAAAATGTTTGGTTTTTCTTGCCCTGTTTCTCCCCCTGTAGTTCAAAAAGTCGGGAAAGAAGTAGGCGATATAGTCGGTTGTCATTTTTTTCTTGACATCTTATCATACAAATTACTGCAT